CACGTGAGTCAGTTGCTAGGAAACGTCAAAGAGGGATTCAGTATTAGGTCTGGGGAACAATGAGCTAGCTGGTAGTTATCTGAACACTAACTCGTAGCCTTCATTAACTATTGCCTACCTTAGGAAGCTGAAGATTACAGGTGATGCTTCTCCAGAGAAACACATATTGAGTCCTACCCTTTAACTATTTTAAGCAGATTCTTGTATCCACTGAAACAAGAAGTAACAGCTGTAGGCATCTTAAAATAATTTTTCAGCCAGAAGTTGCACCCAGCCTGCTATCCAAACTTAAAGATGGTAAGAACTAATCTCTTCACTGCCTCAAGCTGTATTTTGGTATTGCTGTGCACAAATGTATGTATACACAATCACACGAGCACGCACACACAGAGGATACACAAGAAATGAAAAAGAAAAAGAAAACACATACTTCAGCACTACTGCAATAAAGTACTTGGCTCAAAATTAGTAGAAGAGAAAAGGGAGAAACAACGAGAAACAAGTTAAGGGAAAACACACACACACGTGTGCACGTGTACACATACAAAAAATAAAAAGCCCAGGTTTTCACCTGGGCTTTCCGACAATCGGATTCGATTTGGAGGTTCCTACTGACCCCGTCCTCAGGTTCCACTGCTGGACTAGCTCCCAGAATTCAGGAAAACAGTTTACTCATTAGCTTACTGGCTTCTAATCAAAGGATACAACTCAGGACCAGCGAGATGGACAAGACGCACAGGGCAAGTGGGAAGGGGTGCCGAGCTGCCACGCCCTCTCTGAGCGCACCACTCCCCCCGCGCCTCCTCGTCGACACCTACTCGGAAGCCCTCTGAAACCCTTCTCCCTGATGCTCTGGGGATTTTTATGGAGACTTCACCAAGTAGGCATGATTGAGCATTAGCTCAATTCCTAGGCTCTCTCCAGAGGAGGCAGGTGTTGAATGTTCCAAACTTCTAATCATGGCTTGGTCTTTTTGGCGAAAGGCCTCTACCCAGATGTCCACCAAGAGTCACCTCATTAGAACAAAAGACACTCCTATCACATCAAATGCATCTTAGTCCTTGGGGTTTGGTTTCGCTGAGCTGCAAGAAAAAGAAAAGCACTCTGAATGGAGAGCTGGGAAACACAGGACCCATGAACCCACTGTGTGACTCTGAAAAAGTGTCTTGATTTCTCTGGGAATCATTTCCCAGAAAATTAACAGAGTAATGCTAATCTGGATAGGTTTTTAGGAGGATGGGATGAGATCTCGCATGTGCAATCATTTTAAAATTGTACAGTACACATAAGAAGGGAGTATAGTTATTTATAAAATGGCCAATTCAGTGAATCAGCATGTAAATAGGGCTCAATATTTGACAATCAAAATTAAGCCACTAAAAATCATTAATGGAAGAGGTAGGGGTTTTTCCTTCAAAAATTTCATACATAAATTAGACTGTTTCATTAATAATACTAACATCAAAACATATGATGTGATTTACTAAGAAGCTAAGCAATGATATAAACTAAACAAAAAATAACCACAAGAAAGAATTTACCTTGCCTCTTAAAAAGGTTAAGTCATTTGCATTAATTCCTCCATAGCTTTAAAGTAGAAAAGTACATCAAACTATGAAGGATGTAAAGTAAGTTTTGAAATGAATTATCTCAAATAATGTCCTTTGTCTTTGACATGGTAACTAAGAGTAGCTTTGCCATCGCTTCTAACTTTAAAAGAATGAACTTACAAGCTGTAGAATCTTAGACCCTCTGCTAAATTTAAATTGAAACTGAATTTACACATGGGTTAAGGGTTCTTTCTAAGGTGTTTCTTACAATCCCACGGGCCAACACATCATGGGGGATGCCAAGCACCCTGGATCTGGGAGACCCCATGTATTGGTTTGCCAGAGCTGCCACACAAAATACCAGAAATTGAGTAGCTTAAACAACAGAAATGTATTTTCTCCCAGTACAGTTCTGGAGGCTGGAAGGTCAAGGTCAAGCATGTCCGGCTTCTCTGGAGGCCTCTCATCTTGGCTTGTAGGTGGTACCTTCTCACTGTGTCCTCACACAGTCTTTCCTCTGTGCATGGGCACCCCTGCTGTCTCTCCCTCTTCTTATAAGGACAGCTTAGTGAATTAGGATCCGTGAATGTGGCCTCATTTAATCTTAATTACCTCTGGAAAGGCCCTATTGCCAAATACAGTCACTTTCTTAGGTAGCAGGGATTAGGACTTCAACATAGACATCTTGGGCGGGGGACACGATTTAGTCCACAACACTCCACTTCCACTCGACCTCAGTGGGATGCTAAGCACTGAGAAACGCTGGATGGATGGCCAGCTCCACACCCAAGCTGAAAGCATTCCCTACTCTCCAAAAGCTTTAGGTCTTTATCAAGAAAGAAAACAGCAAGTGAGGACATGGACATTCACGAGGAAATTATGTCAATATCCACAAATATCAATATGGCTGAGGAAACAAGTTTCTTAGACTCAGAAACTGAAAGGATAAACACTGGTATGTTCAGCTATTCTCAGAAAGTTCCCTCAATCCTCTCTGCTGACTTTGGCATTTACTTAATCTGGGTCTTCAACTGAAAGAACCTCATTGCTAAAATGCAAACTGGTGGCCAACACTGGGGAAAGGACACAAATGACAGGCCATTATGTGATGACTTTGCAAATTTTCTTTCAAAGAGAGCTATAAACAGTCATTAAAAGAGCTCTTGAATATTTCTGAAGCTTATTTGGAATAAAAAGTCAGATAAATAGACACATTTTCACTGTTTTAATCTATGCTGTAATCTCGTCCAAAAAATTAACATCACAGAACATTGCCTTACACAAAAAATAACATCCTTTATTTCTACAGTTTTTACCTTCCTTTATTATTTTTTCATTTCACCCTCATAATGCCTCTATGAGGTAGAGAAAGCAGGAAAAGAGGAAAATGAAGCTGACTGACATTAAATGACTTACCCAAAGTCATAAAATAATAACCAAGGGAATCAGAGTAAGAATGCAGGTCATCTGACTTCTAAGTCAGCACTCTTTATTCTTGGGACCTAATGACATTCTGGGCATTGAAACTATAATCTTACAAAATTCACTTTATTTAGCACCACTGGGATGTAAAAATCTATAAATAAAATTAGATTTGCTGAAATTCTGCACATAATCACAAAATGAATTTAGTCTGAAATAAAAATAATTCTGACCACTTCCACAAATATAGTGGTTTTAAGATACCAATCATCTTAAATTTTAGAAGCAACATTTTTGTTGCAAATCTATTTCACCAGATCAAATAACTTGGTAAATATAATAAAAGTTCAAAGTAACAAAAGAAATTTCCATAATTAATAATACAAGGCAAAATTTAACCTAATAACTAGATGATCTTATTAATCTACAGCACACTTTTTCACTAGGCTATGAACATTTCTTCTGCTAACTGAAATTAAGGACAACAATTGAACCACTGGACAATTAAACTTTGATCAGGTCAAAGAAACTATGCTTATTTAGGATGAAGGAAAAACCAACCATCAAATATCAACTACAATAAAAACTTGCTTTATTGAGCACTTATTATGTGCCAGGCTAAGTGCTTCATGTGCATTATGTGACTCATCTTCACAACCACTCTATGAAGTGGGTACAATCTCATATCCATTTTACAAATGAAAAGATGACAGTGAAGTTAAGTAATGCACCCAATAACCCATATTTAAAATGTGGCAGAGACACAATTCACACCCACCTCTGTCTGACTTCAAAGCCTGTGTCTGTTCATCACTCTACTGCCTTAATTCTGAACACAAAGAAGAATGAGATGTTGCCTACCACAACTGAAAAGAGGAGGAGAAATGGGCATAAGAGCAACAGAAATAAATTTCTAAACAGATGCACTGCTTAAACATCAAAGTAACAAATGAGATGATGGAATTTCCTCTGAGAGTCTTAAAAAAAGACAAGAAAAAATTAGCTTCATTCATTCACTCTTCCATGCAACAAAACTGCAGAGCACATGCCACAAACCAGGCACTCTCCTAGGTCCTTAGGACACTAAGAATATGACATAATCCCTTCCCTTGAAGAGTTCAAGTCTACCAAGAAAGGAAAACATAGAGAAGAAAATTTAAAAGGCATTGATATGGGTGATGGCATAGACTACCTACAAAAATGCCTTATGAAGGGGTTTCACAAAGCTGGTTTTCACTCTCCTTGCAAGCCAGTGACATAATAATATCCTGTTATTTGAGAAAAGGTACATCTCTGATGGGCCAAAATTAGACAACTGTTTGATAGTAATACTATCTAAATAATAAATAAAGGTGAATTTTATGGTATATGAATTGTATCTTGAGTTTTTAAAAAAATGTTTTAAACAAGAATGAATGAATTATATAGCCTTCAGAATTTTACTCAAAATGTTAATTTTTTTTGGAAACCGACCTTTAAGCATAACATGAAAGAGAGAATTCAAGTCAAGCTATTTTAAAAACTCCTGATGAGTCATCCCACCGCACAGCAACGTCTCCTCCGTAACAGCCAGCAGAGCGAACCAAACTTCACGTTTCAATAACGAGAAAAGCTGCATTTCTTCCAAGCAACTAGACATCTTTATCAAATGAACATCATAAATGGAGTAAGTGATCATGTTGCTCCCCCCTTCCCCCAGCTGTTAGCGTCTTTTTATACAGTGACATTTCAATTTTTTATATCTACCTTATTACACACAAAATTTAAAGCGGCTTTTAGAAATACATAAAAGCAAATACAAATAACAAAGAAAAAGGCGATGAAACGCCAATTAAGAGTACTTGGTTCTTAAGTGATTCGGTAGGTTAGCAATATAAATGGAAGAGACAGGAACCTGATAAGAGCTTATACAAGGTTGTAGATCAAACACTACGTTGGTAACTTTCCAATATTACCCATGCATGAACATTATTGTCCATTTACACAAAATATTCACTTGATCACTCATGGATATTAAATCGTATGTCCTCCCACGGTGGTCCCCCTCTCCAACAGGCCAACTAGTGCTCCCCAAGCTCCCAGAAACATAGCAACTTGGGATAAAATCTGGCATGCCCAAGGTCTGTGAGGGTAAGGGGATGTTTCCTTTTGACATCTGTCTGCCTACATATTTGCTCAAGTGTCCCTGTCACATCCACATACTGAAGTTGTCATCTTTCCTGACATGGGCCAGAGGCACTGATGTACAGCCGGTTGCTTTAGTCATCAACCGTGACTCTCCCCTCAACACGGAAAACTACATCCATAGAATCAGTCATGGTGGACGCTTTGGCCACAAGGGTGTGGGTATCACCACAGTGACAAAGAATGACCAGAGGACCGCATGGGACATGGAGAGCTTCTATGACACACCCACTGAGGCCTAGGCCCTCAACGTTCCTGGCTGCATCCAGCAGGCCTGTGGAGCCCATCCAGTGCCTAATTCTGAGACTGAGGAAGAAGAGGAGGGAATCCAGGGATAGGCACCTTTGCCATATTTTCCTCTGTTTCTAAGATGAATGAATGAATTCTAACTTTTGAGTCCCCCAAAATTAAAACAATTAAATGTTATACAGAGCATTGTTCTGACCCAAAGGAATGTTTCAGTATCCGTAGTTCACTAAGATGCATCTATTAAGATAAAATTCTATAATTACATTGCACTGAACAAGGCTGTTACTGAGACTAGAGACAGAATACACGGAACTCTTCATGATGCTCAATATTTTTGCATTTTTCTCTCTATTTTGACTCATGTCTTTATATAGGGTTTAAATTCAGTAAATACTACAATACATAGAAAGAAATACCGTATTTTCAAAGTTTGTTTATTGTACAGCCTGAATGCTAAGTTTTTCAAAAAGCAAACAAAAATAGTTATATTTGTACTAAGTAACTGCAAGTACCCAGTTTGAAATCATCTTGTCCACATCTTCTCACTTATCCACCTGGAGTTCATGCTGTCTCATCAGAATAATGTATTTTTCAGAGAAAAATACTATTCTGAACAACATAAACACTGAAACACTTTTAACATGAAACAATGTATGGGATAATAATCATCAATTGGCCTTACTCTGTTTTACTAATCAACACTCACAAATGCCTCTTTCATACTAAATCAACCACAAGTTTGTACGATGAGTCTCCCTTATTAAATTTATTTTCAATCAGAATACTTGAAAGTCGCTGTCAAGTACAAATACACAGTTGACATTTTTATGAGGCACCCAATCTGACAAATCATGATGGCTCTTAAGATGGTGTGACATCATGAAAAGGTAAACATACTGTCAGCAATTTCAAGAGTAAAATTTCTGGAGGCTTTTTGTAACAAAGTGCTAAGTAAATAAAGTTAGAAATTTTTAATTCTTTGTAGCAAAAATTATTACAGTTTCTTTTTGTTATTGATTTATTTATACCTCCCTTTACTCCAAAATGAAAAAAAAAAGATTTAAAATAGTTAACTTGTTTGTGACTTACAAATCAAACTAAACATTTGCTACTTTACCACTTTATATATATATAAGAGTATTTTATCTGGAAATTGCACAGATGGGGCATTGTATTTTAAAAACAAGTACAGAATAACACTGGGGTTGATCTGCATATAACTTTTAGTCAGCCCAATGTATCTGCAGTTCCTTTGCATCAGTGGATTCAGGGACCCATGGACTGTGCAGTACTGTAATATTTACCATTGAAAAACATCCACATATAAGTCCACTCCCTACAGTTCAAGCCCTTGTTGTTCAAGAGTCAACTCTAATTACTGCTTTTTAAATGAATGAATCTCTGATACTAGTTCCAAGAACTCCAAATTCTGACAGCTGCTAATACCTTTTATTATCTGTCGAACAGGTAATTCTAATAAGATTTTATTAAAATGCCATCTAATTATTTACCAGCAATAACCCATTAGTGACATGAAATGGGTCGTTACTAATGAATCGCAATTCCCAGAGTTTCAGACTATTAAAAGAGTCTAACTGTTTTAGACTCTTCTGATGGTAAAAACACAATTAACTATACCTAAAAATCATCTCAGAAGACTGCTTTGTAATGAACAATTTCAGGTGACTGTAACATAAGTCACCAGTTACACCATCAGATGACGTGGCTTTCTGTAAGGTGGATATTGGAGTTAGAAATATTTCTGTCTTGTATGACTCATATTACAGAGATTCTGAAATTGTTCTGCAGAGATGGCCACCTGACTTAACACAAGTTAGAATCAACTCATTCATTCTGCAATTTCTCATATCAATATCTGTCTAATTCCTGGACTCTGAAAGCTGCAGTCATCAAAGGTAAAATAAAAAGTACCTAGAAAAAAAATGACTTTTCCAGAAACTGCATGCCTCAACATAAATTGGATCAACTAAAACTGTGGTGACTCACCAGTTTTGAGGGTTTATAAGCCCACATAAAGATTTAACAGAGGAAAAAATCATCATTCTTCTATACTGGAATTTAGCAGAGCAAAAAATATACCACATGAGATTTTAATCTTCAGTGTAAAGTATGATTGTTCATAACACAAACTATGGGTCAATAATTTATACCTGTGACTTGTAGGTGAGCAAAGGATGCTCACTTAATGGGCATATCAGTCACAGGCTCACAGCCCTGCTCTGTGTCCCACCTCCACCCTCCTCTCCTGTGAAGAATGACTGAACAATAATGAGGGTGAGACAGAAATGTGTGAAAAACACTGATCTAGAAATGGAAACTAAAAGACAGTTCACCAAGTAAAATTTTGTAGATTAAAAGTTATGTAATCAGAAATAAAAATTTATTTTTAAAAGAGCAATATTTATGAAAGGAAAGCTTATGAATTAACTTCTGCCTCAAGCAGAACAATGTATGACTTACTCCAACAACTAGAAGATGATTTTCAACTCATATGATTTTTAATACTTCTAGCTTCCTAAGAAAGTAATGGGTTATCTCCAAGGACCAAGGAAGAAAAGAGACAAAAACAGCAGTCAACCAAATAATGAATGGGAGCTGACAGCAAGAACCAAACTTAAAAGTCAGAGTTGCCCTGAAGGCAAACACCTATGAGATTCTTGAATCCTTACGTCTAAGTCTTGGGCGCACTGTGCAGTAGAGTAGCTAATTCTACTAAGGTTAATTATTGAAGGGGTTAAACAGCATTCCAAATCCCTGATATGCCTTAACTCTTGATATTTGAAAAAAAAAAAAAGCAAATCTTCCCCCAAGAGAAGAAAACTTCAATAAGCCTCGGGTTTTTACTTTAAGAAATGCATTGAATCTAAAATTCCTCAGCTCCCAGAGTGGTGAGGTTAGGGACATGTTTTCATAACAGACCAGGCGGTCACCTTACAAAAGCTTATTAGTAGGGATGTGAAGCAAGATCTCTGAAATAGAAATGCAGACGCTGAGGAAAGAAAGCACGTAGGCTAGTGACATGCGTCCCTCATCAGACCAGGACAGCTTGTGGAAAAAGAAGGCTCAGTACAGTTGAATGCATGGCTGCTGCAGGATCTGCCTCTGGCCCAGCTGCTGTGATTTGTGGAGAAACAGTGGAGTCTGGCTGTGTGAATCAACAAGACCCTTACCCCAGTGGTAGGCAGAGAGGTGTGCCCCTCGTTCAAGAGATTTCTATGCCTGAATCCCGGAATCTTCACACCTGCAGCCTTCTTTACCTTATATCTATCATCTATTATCTCTTTTGTTACATTACATGGCAAAAAGAACTTTCAGATGAGACGAAGGTGATAACGGATTTCATTTAATAAGACAGTCAAGGGCTTAAGGGATTCAACTTAAAGGATACATTTAAATGATGTGCTCTTTTGGCTCTCTGAGCAGCATCTGCTGGTTGGCAAAAACAAGCATCTTATGAAAAGTGGCAAAAGGGAGCCAACAAGGAAGGTTGATCCATTTTCTAAGAAAAACTGGCATGGTGTGAAAACCAGCTATGTTCAATATGTACAAAATACTGGGTAAACACTAGTCACAAGAACGCAAAAGGAATCAAAATTGCTCTGGTAGCCTCAAGGGTTTCTGAAGTGAGACTTACTGGTCTGCAGAATGATGAAGTTGCACTTAGAAAATTCAACCTAATTACTGAGAATGTTCCAGGCAAAAAAACTACCCAACCTCCACGATGTGACTCTTACTCAAGACAAAATGTGCTCTATGGTCAAAAAAAAAAAAAAATCAGATCATGACTGAAATCATGTTGCTGTCAAGGCTACTGACGGTCATTTGCTTTTTCTGTTCTGTGTTGGTTTTACTAAAAAAACAAAATGCAGCAATCAGACTGAGAAGACTTCTGATGCGCAGCACCAGCAAGTCCACCAAATCTCAACAAAAATGGAAATCATGACCCGAAAGGTGCAGACAAATGATTTGAAATAATCGGTCAACAAAATGATTCCAGATAGCATTGGAAAAGATATAGAAAAGACTTGCTAATCTATTTATTCCCTCCACGACGTAGTCATTAGAAAGGTAAAAATAATAAAGAAGCCTCATCTGAATTGGGAAAACTCAAATGAATTTCATGGGGAAGGTAGTCGTTCTGGAAAAGCTACTGGGGATGAGGTAGGTGTTAAAGTTGAGCAAGCTGAAGGATATGAGTCCTCAGTCCAAGAATCGCTTTAAAATTCAGACTTTTAATGGGGACAAATAAAAAGTCTTGTTTGCCAAAAAAAAGTGTAATGATGTGACCAAATGTATAATTCCAAGTTTGTAAAACAATTCAAACAACTTTAAATGCATAATGGGAATTCATTATTTAAACTAATCCCACTGTTGAACTCTCTATAAATTTAGTTTCTCATACGTAAAATTTAATATGAGATAAAACTGAACATTGAACTAAATGTTTATTTTTTTCAACAGAGCAGACAATAAGTTTGAAGCACATATACTGCCAGATCTAAGTCATACCCAAGTCTCAGAATTAATCCAGCTTCCCAAAGACATATGAGGTAAATGGTGCAAAGCCTTGGACCTTTCAATGGCATTCAGCACACAAGTCAAGCTGGAAATTACACTTGGTAATTCTCTGTTCTATGCCAATCAGCATGCTCTACAAACTTCATCTCATTTCATCTTCACAGAAACTCAGCAAGATAGATATTGCTACTCCCATTTT